AATTTGGGGAAAAGAAACTTGTGGAAAATTTCTTCCTTTTTTAAAAAAAAACCCACAAAAAATGGAAGAAAGGCAGCCAAGGTAATAACCTAAAAATAGTACCCAGGAGGGAGGGAGGGTGGAGACGGTTGAGGGTATGGGAAGGATACATGGTGATGGGAAAACATAAAGGAAAAAATAAGAATAGTGCTCTGGCAATTGAGAGTTGTCCTGTGGGGTTAAAGCACACTGCTCAGCTGTACAGCTTTGGCCTTGGGTAGCCGGAGATGCCAATTTGACCCTCCATGTTAGTTTGACTTGTTGAAAGACTGGCATCATGGATTTCTTAGAGTGGGGGTCTCTGTCCCTGGAGGAGTGTTGGGTGAGAGAGAGAACCTCTCTCCTGAATATGGATGTAAAAGACCAAAGTAATTTTTGTGATTTTAGCTCCAGAATTCTAAGAGCATTCCAAGGATTAAAGTGATGTTAGTGCTTGTCATTATTTTCCCATTCATACGTTCATAAATTTGACCTTTAGACCACAGGTTCCCATTGATTGGGAATAAAATACTGCTTTTTTCAGTCCTTGGGGGTCCAGCTGAGAGCAATCTCTTGCATTTTTTAACCAGTGTGTGTATAGATATTACTAGTATGATTTTATGTGTGTGCCATGATTTTAAAAAGTTTGGGAAGCTCTTGAACCTATATCACTGAAAGGTTGTGGAGTCCTAGGAGATAGTAGTGGTTTCATATTCCTATTAGCTTTGACCACATCCAGTAATCATCATCATAATAAAAGGCTAATATGCAAATGGTCATCACGCCGTGACACCGTAACGACCGAATAGCAGGAGGCTGCGTGCGAGGCAGGCGTGGGTGGGCAGGGACTTGCGCCAGGCGTGGGTGGGGCTGCCTCTCAGCCGGCGCCTGGCCGGGGACAAGAAGCTGCCTCCTCGCCAAGCGCCGGACCAGGAGACGTGAATATCAATATTAAAATATTTCCTCTAATTCCCTTTTAATGTGCGTGAATTTCGTGCACTGGGCCACTAGTTTCTTATAATAGTACCTTAAAGGAAATATATTCCTAATCCTAACTTTAATCTTTAGTTTCCACTTATAAATTAAGATGAATGTTGTAAATAGTACTTGCTGTTTTATTTATAACTGTACAGAAAGGTATTTATTGGGAGTTCATTGTTTACTTCCATGCTCTTAGATGTTTCTGTAGGCCACATCCAAGGACTTGGAAGGAACACAGGGAGGAATACACTTGCACAGTGACCCAGACCATCATTACCGTCTGAGGATTACAGTTCGTCATTGCTTCTGGAAGTTTGCAGTTCTTTTCTTTGGTGCGTTATTCATGTGTCATCACTGGATAATACATAGTAAATGGGGATGCCAGAAGAGATTCACTGCATAGTGGTTAGCTTTATTTTTATATTTTAACCTGGTTTTGTTTGTTTTTTTGTTTGTTTTTTCCTGTTTATAAGTAACCAGTAAGTAATTTGACAAGTGGCATGGAGTTTATATACCAAATACATTTACTTCACTTGACAAAATGCCTCTTTGACAAACCATCAGCATTTACCATTTGTTACCAGAGCTGGGCCAAGTATCTTTTTAAATTGGAGGTAAAAAATCACCACTAGATGGCAGTGCCTGTATAGATGGGGGAAGAATTGCCACTATTGGAATAAGGCAATGTAGTTGAAATGGGGTGGTGAAATAGGGGCATCAGCTTAGTATTCTTTAAAGAGTTGCTCTTGAATTAATAAACTGAATAATTTGTAGAAACTTAAGTAAGCAAAATTTGATTTTGGTTTGAACTTTTTCCTACAGCACCTTGTTTTTCATCCTGATGATTTTGAGCTTTCTATACTAGATAAATTTCTGTGCACGAGTTTATAGATGTACTCACAGTTCCACAGTTTCATGCAGGTTATCAATACTCTGCTCTTGCAAATTCCCCAGTCCTGTCTCCATCATTTGAAATGGCAGCCATGTGGCATATAGAATTACAATGGCTAATAAATCTGGGTTACTTAGTAAAAACTTGCTGTAGAATTTTTTATCTCAAAGGACCCTCAGATCCAGTAAAATAAAGGGTTCTGTTGTAATTGGGATATAAAGTGATTAAATCCCTTTTTTCACACCCCTTGTGATAACTAGAGGCTTAAACTTTTGGGACATTTTACATTTCCCTATTTTTAGTTTCTTCATTTACAACTTAATAAAAATCTTGACTTGAAATTATTCTTAGCCAGTAAAAATGTACTGGTTGTTCTATTGTATAAATTATTCTAATTTGGAAAGAATAATTTGAAACAAGTTTTAAAGTTAACTGAAATGTGGAGGTTGGATTCATATCAAATTCTTGTAAAAGGTCTCGCTAACTATCATTAAACTTTGCTTTTTAAAATTTATACTTTCCCTAGACTCTTGATAAGAACCATGTGGCTGAGTACATTATCTTTAGTACGTTATCTTACATTACCCACCATTTAAATTTCCTACACGTGTAAATGCGTTTTTGTGGTCACTGTTCCGATCTTTGTGTGGCAGTGACAGGCACAGTGCAGTTACATTACAGAGCACAATGTCAGGCCTCTTTGCCAGCATGTGCCTGCTGTGCTATCCTGCCCGCCTTGTTTCTGTGTTTTCAGTATTTGTGCCAGTTATGCTGCTTCTGGAGACAATGGAAGGATATACATAGGCATGTACATATATTGAGAGAACCAATTTGGGCTAGAAGGGGTTATCTTTTGCCTGCTTGGACTCCCAAGTAGGGAAATTAATTGAAGATTAGGAGTGGTTTTTAAGTGGTTGGTTTAAATTTTCATGGAGGTGGTTAGAGACTACTTACTGGCCTTCATGAGTTTTACTTGTATCACTTCTTTGACCTTTCCATCTTAACTGATTCTGAATTCGGCTTCATACCCAAGGTTTTGTTTTTTTACCGTAAAAATTCACACACAGTTCCTTCTTTACAAAGCTTTAAAGCTAAAAAAGAAAATTGTACCTAAAACAACACTGAACAAAATAACTTGCCTGGTTCTGCCATCAACCAGCAGTGTGAGTTTGGGCAAATCCCTCCATCTTTCCAGGCTTGGTTTCCTCATTTGCCAAAGAAGGATGATCTTGAAGATGGCCTGCTATCTATCTGAACACCCTTGGCACACTGTTAAGATGAAGTGACAGTTCTTAAAGTGAGAAGTCAGGCACAGGGCTTCTAGTTTTCATTTCCCTTGGCTGAGATTTTATTATGTGGATGGCTGCTACCCAGGTTACTCTTAGGAATGGTATGTTCTCTCCCAAGGAATTCTTTCCAAAATAGAAAATAAAATGAGAGTGCATGGAAATTTTTCTTAAGGATATAATTATGAAATATATTTCTTTTAAAAAATATATATTTTATTGATTTTTTACAGAGAGGAAGGGAGAAGGATAGAGAGTCAGAAGCATCGATGAGAGAGAAACATCAATCAGCTGCCTCCTGTACACAGCCCACTGGGGATGTGCCTGCAACCAAGGTACATGCCCTTGACTGGAATTGAACCTGGGACCTTTCAGTCCGCAGGCCAACATTCTATCCACTGAGCCAAACTGGTTAGGGCTGAAATATATTTCTTATCTAGATATTTGCCATGGCAGATGACCTGTATTTAAAAAAAGTTAGCTGTTTCTACAAGCAATAATGTTATATTTGTTGTTGGTTTTTAAAATTAATCTTTATTGTTGCAAGTATTACAGATGTCCCCCTTTTTTCCCATTGACCCCATCTACCCCATATCTGCAACCCCCTCCTGGCCTTCACCACACTATTGTCTGTTCATGGGTTATGCATGTAAGTTCATATAACCAGTGCATGTAAGTTCCCTGGTTAATCTCTTCCCATCCTTCCCCCAGCCCCACCTTCTCTTTTGAGATTTGACAGTCTGTTCCATGCTTCTGTGTCTCGATCTGTTTTGTTCATCAGTTTATTTTGTTCATTAGATTCCACATATGAATGAGATCATGTGATACTTGTCTTTCTCTGACAGGCTTATTTCGTTTAATTTGCAGGCTCTTTTAACACATTGTGTGCGGGAAATGTGTTTACACGTTTTACGTATTTATACGGTCTACCAGTGTAGTAGAGTGTGGGACACGTATTAATACGTTTTTTATAGACTAGCGGTAGAATGCGGGTAACATATAAATACGTAAACTAAAGTTATCGTAATTTTACTGAACATTGCCATTTGCGCAAAAAATTAGCAAAAATGGCCCACGCCACCTGTTAGCGCGCGATAAAAACTACCCGCAAACAATGTGTTAAATGAGTTTGAGAAGCTTTAACCTTTAGTGTGAAGTATTTCTAAAACCAAATGAGAAATGATATCTTTAGTAGCTAATCATTTGCTCCATTAATAAGAAAAGTATGAATTGCAGTTCAAATCTTGATCACTGCTATTTCTGCTAGGTATCATTCAGTGTAGCTTACCTGCCAACATCATTTTTTTAAATGAGTCTTACTGCCTGTTTTTTGGATCTGGATATATATATACACTAGAGGCTCGGTGCACAAAATTCATGCACGGGGAGGGGGGGGCGGTCCCCTCAGCCCAGCCTGCAACCTCACCAATCCGGGACATCCCTCTCACAATCCTGGACTGTTGGCTCCTAATCGCTCACCTGCCTGCCTGCCTGGTTGCCCCTAACTGCCTCTACGTGCCGGCCTGATCGCCCCTAACTCCCCCCCTGCTGGCCTGGTTACCCCCAACTGGCCCCCCTGCCGGCCTGGTTGCCCCTCACGGCCTCCCTGCCAGCGTGGTTGCCCCACACAGCCTGCTTATTCAGTTGTTTGGTCATCCCTCACTAACCCCCCTGCTGGCCTGGTCGTAGGCAGCCATCTTGTGAGGGTGTGAGGGTTAATTTGCATATT